CAGAGGCTCATAGTACAGGAATCCTTTCCAATCCCACCAGATGTACAGCATGACTTAGGATAAAGACCTGCTTTTGAGTTGGCTACTGTTGCTTAACTTGGGATCTTTTTTGCTGAACATTGTTGTAAACAATCTGTTTCTCATCATCCTTCACAATTTGCATAAAAAAGGGTGCATTTTCATTGTGTCTATACAAGAAATCATAGATGAAATGCAATCCAAAAGATTCTTTTTGCCGAGATCACATGGTACCCAAACATTGTAGTGATAAGTGCTCATGGATGGTGGATTGTGATAAATTTAGTGTTTCTGCCAATTCCCATTGTGTAATGTGGGTTATTCTTAATCAATGTCTTGATTTCGTCATCCTCTATAGTGGGGTGGGGGTCTGCCGAAGTGCTTTTCATCAATAAGTCTGCAATCACCACCTCTAAACTTAGCCAACCACTTCTGTACAGTTCTGTCAGCTAAAACGCCTTCACCATACACAGCACGTTATTTATTTTTTTTTTTTTTTTTTGTGTGGCATTTTTAACTTTTTACAATGTAAAGAAAAAGTGTCTAAAATGCACCTTTTTATAATCCTCCATTTTCATAGGGATGCAAAATTGACACGAATTAAGTAATTTTAAACTTTCTTTCTCAAGAAATAGATTGAAGCGTGCTCTAATCAGAAATGTAAGCATATATCTGTTGATAAATTATAACCTGTTGAAAAATTAAAAATCGACATGAACTTTCCAGATAACCCAATACTTTGTAAGTATGTGGCCTTGACATTCAGTGTGGAAAACCCATTGATTAAATAAAATCAGGGAAAGTGTAAGGTGAATTGAACTGCTGCTACTTTTTTTTCTCTCTCTCTCCATTCTCATTAATAACCCATCTCCATAGAAATGTCTTGACTTTAACCTTCAACATCTTTTTAAATATAATTATCCTTCCCATCCTTAATTTTACCTCTTTGATGTTATAATTTAATCACTATTAAACACCAAAATGATCTGAAAAATCACAGCTGACCAAATCTGTTTGCTGAAACCAGTCTGGTTAATATTGCCATCAGAAACACATTTAACATTATAACAATGTTTATATTTGCCAATAGCTTTTCTCTGACTGTACTAGATATCCTGCCCAAAATATCTGCTAACATAAATTTATTTTTTTCAATATGCCTAACTGTCATTAGATTTTCTTTTGGTGATTTCATAACAGCATGACTATCTTGATCATTGCTTTCCACTTTAACTAGATTGATGTTGCCTGATCAGTTACATTAAACCTTATAAATTCATGCTACAACAAACCTGTTCTGCATCATACTCCTGAATTACTCCTATTGGGATTGGGTATCTTATTTTATATGAATGAACCTGCTATATTTGCTTTCCATCTGATTATGGCATCTGGTCAATGCACTTTGGTAATGTCATTTCTCATCCTCTGGTCATATTCAAATTTGTCAGGCTAAATGCAACATAATCAAATTTCTTATTGCTACAGTAGACACTGTTACAGGTTCCAATATGGAAGAATTGGTATTAAAGATTTTTGAAACTGGTAGGTTAATACAGAAAACAACTGATGAGCAGTCATATGCTCAATGAGACACCTTACCTCAAACACCTACTGGGACTAAATCTCACTGCAGACTTTAAATAGAACTCTTCTATCCATGCCATTGTTAAAGATGCTGGAAGAATATTCTTTTGTATTGCTCCAGAAAATACAAGAATCAACTCTGACCAAGAATGGAGTATTGGCTGTTATATCTGGGCAAGTTTTGTCCTGTCCTCACTGTCCAACTTTGACACTGTTCAAATACAATTACAGTCTTTATCCTACAGATGAAATGTTACTAGCCTCTTGCTATTCCGTCATTATTATGGTGGCAAATGTTCCTTCGAGTTATATTCTATAGTCCACCAACTTGGACATTCATGGCTAGGACCTGACTTACAACAATCTTACTCAGTAACCCTTGGGCCTTGTATTGGCTGAAGTGGAAAAAAAATGCCAGAAATCTAGTGTTAACAAGATCAACCCAAGCTGAAACTTCCCAAGCTAGAGCTGCCACCAAATGGCATTGAAGAGCTGTAATTTTGTTTACCAAGTTACTGATAATTTGTTTAATCCCTTGCATATGCCACTGGTCCAAAGACTTTCTGCTACTCTGGTCATTCTTTTCGTATTAAAGGACTCTGTTCCTGCATCTTATTGTTTAATTCCTATCCATTGTTAGGAAGTTTTTAATTTCTTATATATAGTTTGCTATTATAAATTATACTTGCTAAGCAAAATAGGAGGTCGTCGGTAATCACGAAGTAACTTCTGCCTAATGTTGTCAGATCCTCAAATTATTAAATTCAATCATCATAAGGTGGACAACAGCTCAAGGTGGCATCTGAAATTTACACGTTTTATGCACTAAAAGAAAATTTAATGTTGAGTTCATGACAATCCTTTCATTACAAATCTACTTGAGCTTTTTTTTTTTTTTTTTGGTCTGACCAAACTGTTGATGTAATAACTCTTAGTAGTTCCCCACACACACACGAACCACTGTAATCATTTATTTAATAATCTGTAGCCATAGGTTGCAAGTGAATAATCTTATTTCTTAGTGTCATTCTGCTTGATGAGGTAGAAAAGCAAACCAATGCTGGTTCTTATATGCATCTAACATCTCATTAGATGATTCAATTTTTTTCTTCTTCCAGATGAAAACTCTGGTCAAAAAAAGCTTGTCCAAGCTTTAAAGTAATCATGTCAACTATTGACAGCTTGATTCATCTGAGTTGTATTTTTTTTTTTTTTTTTTCCTTGGGGAATCTAACATAACACTTAGAACATAAAGGCAATAACAGTTGGGGCATTTCAGATCTTGTCCTTAGCAGAAGTGTTTGTACTCGCTAATGGCTATGCTACTGGACTGACACAGTCTAAAAATTGTGGAAAGCAGTAAACCACTCGTGGTTTTTTTTTTTTTTTTTTTTCTAAAGAAGAAATTGACCAGGTATTTTTCCAGAAAAATATCTTCACCAGTTTCTTTCTTTGGCTCTGTAACCCAAATAACCAAATTGCTTGAAGGTGAATTACCAATGTCTCTTTCTCTTCTGGCAATTCTGTAAGTTTGTTCTAAATGCCAATATCCTGCTTCCTATTCTCATAACTATCTTCATCCTCATATTTAGGAGGCTGTTTGGATGAATACGTATTTATATTGGACAGTTCCATAACCAAATTCTGCATACTGTTAAATATCTCCTCAGATCAGCAATTCACTATGGTTGTCAGTTTGATTTTTAGACAGGAACCATTCTATCCTAAACAATTTACAGGGTGTGATGGGTAAATTATCATTATTTTTATATTTTTATTTTTGCATATGTAGGTTTCGGTTTTTGTCTACTGCACAGTATAGTAGGGTCAGTTGGGCACCATCTGTGAGAAAGAGCACCATGACACAATTCACTCAATCAGAAATTTGGAAACGGCATGCTGTTCTGTTTGACATTTGTGCTGGAAGCTCAAATACAAACATTTCAGTGCTTGGGTGTCAATCTGTGGACAGTACAGAGGATTCTGAAAGAGTCTGATAATATATCCAGTCAACATCATGGTGTTTAGAGTGATCACTAGTGGCAGTGATGTTATGCTCCATTCATCTTCCCACAGGGCCTCAGACTCAACATTGAGGCTCTCATCAAGTGCCTTGGTGATATAGTGCTACTCTGGGTCAAGAGGGTGGTTGCTGGAAGACCCTATGTTTGGCAACAGCACTCTGTGCCATGCCACACAAGCAGAACCCAGTCATGGCTGCCAGACAATTTCTGTGACTACATCACACTTTATATCTGGCCACCTAACTCCTCAAACAACCCCCTTGATTATGTGTGGAGCGCAGTTGAGTGAGAACTCCTTGTAACACCAAAGATGAACTGAAGTCATATGTGTGTATGTATATATTATATATATATATATATATATATATATATATATATATATACGCACACAAAAAGAACAGATGTGGAAAAAATTCCACTGTTCATAGTATTTATTAAAAAAGTTTCAATACAAAGTAGAGCAATATATTACTATAAGAGATTATTGTGTAGAGATTTCAACATGCTTTTGCTCTAATCTCTTAAAATGTGTGTTTTAAAGTATGCTATATTCGTGTGTGAAAGTGCTAAATCTCTTTGATAGATCATATATAAATGGCCTAATGATTACTTTCAAGCAGGGAACACTGTCACTGCTTGATGTTTTACCTAATAGGAAATTATTGTCTATTTAACAAAACATTCTTTTCCATAAATACTTTTAAAATTTAGTTTTGAACATTCTCTACAACTGAACAAATTCAATTTGGTCTGTATATTTCTTTAAAAAAAAAAAAAAAAAAAAAAAAAAAAAGGCTTCTTGTGAGATGTTTGCTTGGTGTGTGGGTGGGTGTAACTGGTCTTTTTAAGGATTTCTTAAAGTATCCTAATTTGTAGTTTGGAATATCTTTTGCTCCAGTAACCTTTTTATTTCTACATGCACACACATATATATATATATATATATATATATATATATATATATATATATATATATGTCTTAATTAAGAAATTTAAATGTTAAAAACTTGGTGCGAGGTAGCTTTTTTTTTTTTTTTTTTTTTTTTTTTTCTTATTCCTGAAAATTAAAAATAGTCACTTAAATTTCAAATCTTAAGTTAGTATTTTGTTTCCTTAACTGTGAATCCCACCCCCCACCAGGAGTGGTATTAGTGAGTGACAAAGTGAACTTTAAGAAATATCACTGACAAAATTAATAGTATATCGGTCAACTGCCTTACAATAATTATCTGCTTGTTAGGAATTATATATGCCTATATTTATTTAAATTGGGTCAGCTTGAAAAAAGGGGTTTTATTTCTACTGAAATGTATTTTTTTTTTTTTTTTTTTTTTTTTTTTTTCTAACAATTTTCTCTTTATTTCATTTCAGGTGTTAGCTTGGTTTGAGGAAAATGACGATCAGATTACTGCCTTTGTTGAACCCTTTGTCATCTTAACCATCTTGATTTGTAATGCTGTTGTTGGCGTATGGCAGGTAAGTAATTTCTTGTACTTCTGTAGTTAATGAAAAAGTAATCTTTTCTGTAATAACCCAGACTTTATCACAGGCATATTCATAAAGCTATAAAGACTACAAAAAAAAAAAAAAATTCTTCAACTTTGTTCCATTGTGTAAGATGAAGAATATGCAGTACCAAAGGATTTACTGTCAACTTGTGCTTCCTAAACTCTTTTAGACTGTCATCTTCACTATGATCTTTACCTTGAACTCCACATTAGATGACAATCACAGTAATATTTTTATCACAACCTGACTTTAAGAATGTTACTAGTTCAGATAAAATCCCATTGGTTGTCCTTAAGAATATTAACCCTAAGTTAATCCCAATCTTGGAAAAGCTATTTAATCCCTGTTGTGGAAGATGTCTAATGTTTCACCTGTTATCAAGAATGCAGGTGAGCACTTGTCCCTGTCTCACTATAGACCCATCAGCCTTTTCAGTGTCTTTAGCAAAACTTTTTTAAGCTATATCAACAAAAATATTGTTAATCACCTCAATGGGTACAACCTCTTGAGCCACAAGTAGTATGGATTTAAATTGGCTTGGTCCATAACTGATGTCCTAACTGCTATTTCTTACAGAATCAATGAGGCACTACTAGCCAATAAACACATCTCTAGGTCAATTGTATCAGATATTTCTGATGCCTTTGACAAGACATGGTTGTTGCACAAGCGTTTATTTTCCTTCATTTCTCACTTTGGGTATGAGTAACATATAAAATAAAAAATTATGTACATTATTTCCAGGCCCACTTAAGATTTTAAAATTAAAATGCAGTCAGCCTTTCTGGCATTTAAACTAATTTCTGGCTGTTGTGTTGCTTCTTATTTATAGACGATAATCTATGTATGAAAGTGGCCTACATTCTATATGGACCACCCTTTAATTTACTAGTTAAAAAATCTATTCTATTCACAAAATAGTTAATATTGTATTTATAGGAAAGCATGGTTGAACAGATTCAAGCAAGAAATCTCTTGAAATGTTAGTTGTAAGGCATCCTTCCATCTCCTCCCTGTTCCTGTCTCTGCTGACATCCTGATTCATCACAAATATCCATGAAGAATCTATAGACTATTAACAACCAAGCAAGACACTTTAGCACTACTTTGACCTTTTTCTCGAAGTGTACATCTTTTTTTTTTCTTTTATGTTACACAAAGCCATCTGGCATCATCAATCAAATCTGTTATTGATGTCTGTCACCATCAACTTGACGAATGTCTTGGCTGTCTTTTCGCCAATACATCCTTAGCTTGGTAATGAATCTAGTAAAAATGGATCTGTACAACTTGATTCCTGGATTTTACAAGTTTCATTTCTATATGAAACTAGTAATGCTGGCTTGTGAATGCCAGATCTAGTCCTGTTCCTTTTGCTTTGTTGAGCTATGATGTAATTTGAAAGATGTGCCATAAATGATGTAATTTGAAAGATGTGCCATAAATGATGTAATTTGAAAGACGTGCCATAAAATGGTACAAGCAAAATCTCTTGCAAAGCAGTTTTTTATGTCATGTTTGATAGAATTTATTAGTTTCTCAAAATTTACTTCCAAGCTTTGACCCTTAAGGTTGAATAAGGAAATGCATATCTCCTCACTTGTACTGCCTGAAGATTGACAGCTATATAACTAAGTGTCCACATGAAACTTTGTTACAGAAAAGCAGTAATATCTGAATATTGTTTTTATTATATTGGCTCTGTTTTTATTTTACTATTTTACATAGAGCATTGTTCTTATGGTATCCTTGTTTTTTTATATATATATATATATATATATATATATATATATATATATATATAAATATAAAAAAGACTGGTTTTTCTATTGTAACCATTGCCAACTTCAATATTTACTCCTGTAATGTTTTCTGAAACTTTGAGCACTGTGGATATTATTTTAGGATATCAAAGACTTAATTTCCATTCTTGATCTAAACGCAATGATTGATTGCTTTCTGGAGCATGTGGCAACATGTCAGTCTATTTCTAGTTTGATCTGAACGTGACAATTGTACATTGGTTCAGTTACAACATAGAAATTATAAAAGGAACAAACTTCAGGCATTGATATATTTTTTTTCTTTTTCCTAGTATGATTTGCGCAACTTGAAACTTTTGTTCTATAAGAATGTATGTCGGAGCTCATTTAAAAATTAGCATCAGACCTGTGTGTGAGGGGAGCAGGATTAGTGTAGTATCTGTGTACTTCTTTACCATAAAGCTGTTCTTCAAGCATCAGAATTCTGGCACAATAGATATCACTTGCTTCCTTACCTGTAGGTTGTGGGTTTGAATCCAAATAGTAAAAAAAAAAAAAAAAAAGTGAATCCTATGTGACAAACTATAGAGCAACAGTCATAGCATTATGATTATCTTCGTCTTCTGGAGAGCTCCTGATTTTCCTCTTTCCCTTAAGTGACTATCTTCAAAGCATAAATGCTGCATTTGGGACTTGCTGTATGTTGTTGCCTACCTTGCTTTGATAGGTAAGGCCAATGGATTTTGTGCTAGGGGTCAGGTGGATATTGCTCTTGTATTGTAATAAACAGTTGGTAGTAAGTACTTGCTGCAAGTACCCACTTCAAATCTTTAAGAATGTAAAGCCAATTTTTAAAATTACTTGAAGAAACCATCATCCTGGATTGGCCATGAAGTTTATAGATCAATCCAGTCATGTGCTTCAACCATTTAAAAAAGATTCTACCACAATAAGACGAACGGGTAGACCTCTCTCATTGAAAAGACTAAATTAAAAAGAATATAAAAAGATAATAGCAAAAGTTGGACATCAATGGACGGATTCTATGGAAAGAGTTGTTAAAGTATCCTTTAATAGATTATGCAGCTAGAGAAATTAAAAGTAGTAAAGAGTATTATATTCTGAGTAATCTGTCAATGGCCCAAAATCTACAATTTAGTAATAAATTTTGATTTTCATAAAATTATTTTTTCTTTACTTGTAAAATTTTATGAAATGTTTTTATAAAACAAAAAACAGCCAGGTTTCTCATTATAATGTAACTCTGTTTCTGTGATTCTACTTTGTGACCTAATGACTGGTCAGGCACACTCTGTACCTTTTTGAATATTCAAAGACCACATTGTCAGTGTAGGAAAGCTCTTTGCTCTGTTTAAAAATTTACAATTAGGGGAAACTGTTTGGTGGTTTAACATGCTCTCAAATGACTTAATAGTTTTATTACTGCTGCTTTAGTTGACATCTATGACAAATCAAGTGACAAATCCATTTGCTATATTAAATACACATGTAAAGATTTTTCTTTGTTTTTTTTTTTTTTTTTTTTTTTTTTTTTTTTTTAAATACTTAAAAGGCATAGATATTTTTCTCTCTTATACTCTTTTAGGTAACTTCCTAAACAGATAAATTCATTTGGCAAACTTTTAAAACAAATTGCAGTTCACTTGGAAATGTCATTGATCGTATTTGTTTCAGTGACTTGATTAAAAGCTCTGTGCCTCTCTCTGCCTCTCTCTCTCTCTCTCTGCCTCTGCCTCTCTCTCTCTGCTACACACACACACACACACACACACACACACACACACACACAGGGTTTCTTGTTTAGCCAAACTATTTTAATTTTCTTCCCCAGATGATAACTAGGTTCAGTCCCCTGGATCTATCCACACTCCCAAACGCCACTTTCTTCCTTCTGTAAAGTAGCTAGGGACTGAACCCTGACAAAAGAGAATGGTTCCATCAACTTGCATGATGAGCCATAAGTGAAATGTTATGGAAAGGTTGGCTTTGAGTATAAGAATGAAAATTGGTTCTTTATTGGTTTTTATTTATTCTTTTGAGGTGCAGTTTCACCTTAAACATGGCCTTGTGCCAACTTCTTTTAAAGTGATTATGTGGATATACACACACAAACAACTTTTGATCTACATTTGTAGGGTCCAAATTTCTAAATGACAAGGTATAACTTACCCTTATTCTTATAGCCAGCTGTTAATACTGGACACAATAGCAGAATGACTATTTGTCAGAGCTTTGTCTAACAAATACTTTTTCCATGTGAATTAGTTGGACATCCCATTTGATGTGGAGGGGGAGTGGATGTGTTTGTGTCTTGGGAGCTACTTGAATATTTTGTGCTATCTTCTGTAGCATTTGTTGAGTTGATCAACCTTAGAACAAAAATTAAAATATTCCACTCTGAATTTCAAAACCTTTTCATGTTAAATAGCTAATAAATAAAAGAAAAAATTTTCAAATGTTCAGATATTTACAATAATTTGGGGCTTTGGTACAAAATTTTTTTTTTTTTTTCTTTTTAAATGGACAGATAAAATTTAAATCTTTTTTAAACACTAGTTAAAATTAATCCAAAATACTTTTTCTTGTTCTTGCATTATTTTTTTCATTTTTTTTTTTTTTTTTTTTTTTTTTTTTTCCTCCTCAACCCCCAATAATAGATTATTTACAATTTCAGTGAATTCTGGGATGCTTGTCAGTTGTCTTTCAAGACAGCCAGGTGTTTTCACTTAAGCATTTCCATTGAGCTTTTGTGTTTCATCCAGCACACACAATGTTTAGTATCAGATTGAAAAATAAAATTATTGAACTGGGGACTATTGTTATTCCTTGAATCTGGACTCTTTCAATATTACAAATGACATTGATTTTTGTCTCTTGTTAGAAGCAGCTCTATCAACTAGCATGGGCCATAAGTGGAATATTCTGGAAGAGTTGGCTTTGAGCATAAAAATTAAAATCGGTTCTTCCTTGACTTAATGGCTTTTATTTATTCTTTTGAAGTTTTTTAACATTTTATTTAATATAATTATAATTCCTGATTAACTATTCAAATTTACCTATCACCCATTCTATTAGATATTTTAATGACTGGGTTTAAAACGGTAAGCAAAGAGAATGTGTTTGCAAATGTAAAGATCAGAAGAAAAAATATTTTAACCAAATAAGTTAACTCTTTATGCAATA